TAGGAGGTCACCTGTTGCTGGGTGATTGGAGAGGGCAGCCCACACCTGTCTGGCGGGTGGTGGGCGGTTGGCTGGCTGCCTCAGTCTCTTGAGCACGGTCGTCAGGACAGGAAGACGGGGGCCACAGTGCTTCTTGATGGATGCTACCGCCTCCATCACACGCTGCTGGTCACCGGGGTCGCAAATCCAGCCCAGATTTAAGAGCGGGAAAATGGGCTCGCCTTTGTAACAAGGGAAGCCGCGAAGAACGGACGGCTGTTCACAAATCAGGGCTCAGATGGAGAGGTGGGATAGGGATTCGAGTTGCGTGGGATTAAGTTTCTCTGTAGCATTCAGGAGATGGAGATCTTACCCTACTCCCCTGTGCCTGAGTCCTCATCGGAAAGTCGACAGTGGGGACCCCCAGCCCCACGGTGGTGCTGGGACGCTTACAGGTGCTCACTTAGACCTGCGTCCTGCACGAGAAAGTTCTCTCCGTGTGGTGGCTGGTGTTAACCTCTCAACAAACCCCACAGATATGATAGCAGCGGGGGCAGAAGGCATCAAAGACCCTCGAGGCCATCGGAACGTGCCTCTCACGTACTTCTCCAAGGACTGCCCTGCCCACCCCCGACTCTGTGCTTTGGCTCGTCTGCTCCCCTGTCTGGAATCTGGCCAGGTCCTCCGAAGCCAACTCACAATGTTGCCTCCTATTTATAGCCCTTATCATGATGAGCCGAAGTATCTTCAAAAAACCAAACAAACTCGGATGTGTTTCCGCTCTCTGCTGGAAATGCCTTGAGAGAGGAGCCCGGGTCTGGCCCCACGCCAGAAGTCGCGTCTGCGAACAGCCAGCCACAACCCCGTGCAGTCGTGCGGGCGCGTTTCTCCCCACTTCTGCTTAGGCACCCTGGAAGCCAGCCAGGGGGATTTCCCACGAAAGGAAGGACTTTTAACAGGAAGTGTGTAAGCACGGCACGTTCGGTTCCCTTCCAGCTCTGCGTGGCCTCACGGCTGGGACATCACCACAGGGAGCTTGGTGTCGTTTTCTTAAGAAAAACAGATAAGAAGGACGCCTGGGTGGCTCAGACGGTTAAGCTGCTGCCTTCGGCTTGGGTCATGATCTCAGGGTCCTGGGATCGAGCCCCGCATCGGGCTCCCTGCTCAGGGGGAGCCTGCTTCTCTCTCTGCCTCTGCCTGCTTCTCTGCCTACTTGTGAGCTCTGTCTGACAAATAAATAAATAAAATATTAAAAAAAAAAAAAAGAAAAGAAAAGAAAGAAGAGAAAAGAAAACCAGACAGGAGCCACTCTCCCCATCCTGTTTCCCATGAGAACGAACCCCATCCCAAGGCATCAGGGATTGTTCGGTTTCATGGGGGGAGGGGAGGGAGGAGGGCTTCCCAGAAGCTTCTCCTGCACCGACTCAGGCAACGTTCTGAGTCGGGGTCCCAGCACACGTAAGGGTTCCACCGTGTATTACTATAAAAGGGAGCCGGCGTTCCGGAAAGTGTGTAGAGCAGCAGACCCATTGACGCTCTTCTCTAAGGATCATCTTGAGACGGACTCCCCCTTAGCAGAAGGACTAGGTGAAGACATGGTCATCTGAGCTCAGATGTGTCCGAAACGTGAGGATAGAAATGATCCCGTGTCTGTCCGTCTTCGCGTCTGTCCATGCACCTGTGTATCTCTGTGCGCATCTGTATGTCCACCCATCCCGCAACACACGCAGGTCCCTACAAGCACTTCAGCCTATTGACTTGTCTCCCATTCTAGACCACCCTCCCCCCCACTCTCACCCACTCCGTCCTCCCTCATCTGGGCCGTTAAAATCACTCAAAATATCCTGAGCTTAAGTCCTTGACGTTCTCATCAAGGTCACCGTCTACGTGTGTACAGCACATTACAGTTTATAAAACATGAGTTTTACACGAACGCGCTTCTCTCTGGTCCTACCCCTCAAGCGGACAAGGGACTCACCAGGCACACCAAGGTCACAGGCAGGAAGAACGTCCACGAAGGAGGGAGGCGGGCCGTCTGTCCCAGGGCCCCACGCTGCCGTTCAGACCACATCGGTCTGACTTGATCAAGGAAGTTCATGGCTCAGCTCAGAACCCATATCCCCGATCGCAGCGGGGTGGACAATATCAGCGACGTAACTGTTCTGGTTCAAGAATCAGAGCCACCTGGATCGGTCCCTCCAGGCTGCCTGGTGGGCTTTATCTGCCCAGCTTTGACCTCCATTTAAGGAAATGTCAGAGCTCACTCGCTTGAACGACTGGCTCTCCACTGGGCCTGGGGTCAGGACACGGAGTCAAGAGCACGTCCTCCCTGTCGCCTGAGCTGAAGGTGGCCCCCTCGGGCAGCTCCGCACAGTCCCTGGGGGACGGCGTGGAACACTGCAGCCCAAGAAACTGGGGATCGTTGTGGGGATTATTGTTTAGAAATGCAACATGCGGGGTGCCTGGATGGCTCAGTGGGTTAAAGCCTCTGCCTTCGGCTCAGGTCATGATCTCAGGGTCCTGGGATCGAGCCCCGCATCGGGCTCTCTGCTCGGCAAGGAGCCTGCTGCCTCCTCTCTTTCTCTCTCTGTCTACTTGTGATCTCTGTCTGTCAAATAAATAAATAAAATCTTAAAAAAATTTTTTTAAATAAGTAAATGTGCAATAGTTTTCCGTGACATTTAGTTTCCAGATCACAACCGATTACGAGATGATGATCGTTACTGTGGGCAGAACAACCCTGCGGACCAGGCACGGCTCTGGTTTCCCAACACCCACGGGGCTTGTGTCACCGTCCACGTGCACCAGACAGAAAGCCGAGCTCAGCAGTAAGTGCTCGCGGGTTTGGCCTGACCCAAGCGCCCATGGGCTTGTGACCGGCCCCGCTCTCAGCTCAGTGAGACTCTCCTGGTCGAGCGAGCTCTGCCGGGACATGCACAGACTCTGGCCCTCACCGGAACAGGAGCTACAACCTTCAGGCAAAGTTAAAAGAAAATGTACAATTGAATGAAAATGGACTGTGTTCTTTCCAACAGCACATAACAGCTAGCGATGGGAAGAGAAACCGGCAGAATGAAGGGATTAATAGTGACCACATTGGAAAGCCCTCTCTGGGCTGTGGGCCGCATCTCAGCCAAGGCTTGAGAAGGGCCCAGGAAGATGGGGATGGACCCCCTTTCTCACAGCAGCAGGGGCCAGTGGCCTTGGCCCCGTCCTGTGGCTACAGGAAGAAATTGCCACATACTGGGGGGGCTCCCAACGGCAAGAATGCACTCTGTCCCCGTCCCAGGGGCTGGCAGTCTGAGAGGACAGTGAGGACAGGTCTGGTCGCTTCTGGGGGCAGAAGGCAAATCTGCTCTGGGCGTCTTTCCCAGCCTCCAGCCGCTGTCAGCACTTTCGGGCGTCCCTGGACTCGCGGACAGATCACTCCAGTCTCTGCCCGTCTCCACATGACCTTCTCCTGTCTGTCCAGTTTGCTCCTCTTCAACAAGACCCCAGGCTTTGACACAGGGCCTGCCCTCATGCATGGCCTCCTTCAGCCTGATTACGCCTGTAAAGACCATATTTCCAAAGGTGCTGGGAGTCAGGACACCCACATGCCTCCTTCTGGGGGGACACTAACCCACAACATCCCTCACGGGCCCTTCCCCTCTGCGACAGCCTCACACAGGAATGCCGTTGCTGCCGCGGGTTTTGGAAAGGTCAAGAACGCCATCCCGGGCCATCAGGAGCGTTTGACCGAGGAATGCCTGGTGGCTGTGGCCGGGCGTGGGCCGGGCCAGCTGCTTCCACCCACGCTGGTGCAACCACGGCGTCCCATGGAAAGGGGAAACAGTCTGCCAGGGCCTGAGCGTTTCCCAGTCGGGCGTGGTTAAGTCGTCGTGGGCTGGCGTGGGGCTCTGCGCTCAGAGACAGCGTGTACCAGGTGGTACCCGGAGACCCGGGAATGTGGATCACGTCGAGGAAAACGTCCACCACAAAACCACAGTTAAAACCTCCCCTCTGGGATAGACGGAATGTGTGCGCTTCGTGAGGACGCAGCTCCGAGCATTCCACTGCCCCGGGGTCCCACCCCCACAGCTGTTCTCGGGCGCCGGAGGGAAAGGGACCCCCGTGTGGTTTGCAAGGACGGCAAGAGCAAGCACCCCGCATCCGCGACAGCCCTGGGCGATTTGTAGGGTCTGGGAAGTGCTTTCTCCTCCCCCACACTGAGCTCTTTTTCCACAATGAATGTATATACAGACGTTCTCTACCCGAAAAGTAATGAAAATCGCCTTAAAGGGACAAAAACATTTGTGATGATAAAAGTTTCGTTAAAATGCTGTATTCAAAAGAGAGAATGGATTCGTTTATTCTAAGGGTAATCAATTTTTAAAAAACCAATAGATAATAGATCTGCACTAATTATCAAAACATAACAGGGCAGATGCAGGTGCTGGGGCTGGGGGGACCGTGACTTTCTTCTCGATACCTTCTCCTGTTTTCCAGAAGTGCAGAGACGTAAGGGAGATGTCTGGAAGCAAAGGGAGGGGAGGGATAGGTTTCATCTTGGGGCCAGGAGCCCAGCAATGTCTCTGGGAGAGGTGGGATCTGGGGAGGGGTGCCACAGGAGAGCCTGAAGTGACCACCAGGGCCACCGGCTCCTCTTGGGGTCTCCCTGCCCAAAGCCTCTGGCTCAGTGAATGGGAAAGAAGGCGCCCGCGAAGCAGGTCATGGACTGCACCAGAAACCAGTAGAGGCCGAGTCCCAGCGGGAGTTCTGTAGCCCGGGAGCTGGCCCCCAGCCCTACCTTCCCCAGGCAGCCACCCGCACACGATCGTGGATACCTGCCCTCAGCACCCAGACAGTGGCTTGGCCCTGGCAGGGCCCCGCTCTAGGTTTGGAGAGACACCTGCCGTGCCATCAGGGCGGAACCCGTGTCCACCCTGGCCCAGCCCCTGCCCCTTGGTCAAGCACCTCGTAAATGGCACAAATGACCGTGTTGTGTCTCCCACAGCCCCGCCCGGGTCGCGCACGACGCCATGAACGTGCCCCTCGTCTGTGACTACGGCTCAGGCTTCAGCAAGGTGGGCTTCTCGGGCACAGAGGCCCCCCGAGCCGTGTTCCCCACCATCCTCGGGAAACTTCGACACGACGTGAGTGGCTTTGACCTCGGGGGGTGCCCAGTGCTGCTGGGGGGCTGTGTCTGTCCCCATGTCTGTCTGAGGCCCTACGCGCTCCTCCTGGTGGGTCCCCAGGAGCGGGATTGCTGGCTTGTATGGCAATTCGGTGTCTAAGAAATTCTGATTCTTGTGTCTAGATGTTAAGGATAAGTCACTCTTCCAGAAAGCTCATGCAGACTAACCCATCACATCTACAGGCCAAATGCCGCGCTCGTCCTCCGGGCCTTCCCCGGAGCGGCACATGGGACTAGCTCCCACCTGCGTGGCCTTTGCAAGGTGATCTCCCGCCTCCCTTCTGGGGGCCTTGCCCCTTCCCCACATGTCCCCCAGCCAAACCAGCTGTGAGCCCTCAGCTCACGTGAGGACCGTAACTCCTCGGGTTGACATGAGCCTGGCGGTCCTATGAGGAAGGTCCATGGTGTCCCTGCTCCCCAAAGAGGAGCCAGGAGCTTGAGAGGTGACTGGCCCATGTCCCTGTGTAAGCACGTGACAGAGGTGGGACCCGCCGAGTTCGAGGCCCTGGTGCGGAGTCACGTCCTTGGGGAATTTGCCCATTCTGAGAGGGAGCGGTGGGGTCACGTGAGAACCCCAAACATCACGGGGCCCAGAAGGCCCATGCCCGGGCCTTGCATCGCTAGGAGCAGTTTGTGGCAACGTTTCTAATCAGGCAGCTTGGGTTAAGACGGACATTCCAACATGCGACCGGCTGGGGGGCCGGGAGCGGCATCCCTGCCCCTCTCTGAGTGCGTAACGGCAGGTGCCTGCCTCCTGGCTAGTGGGCAGACGGGGCTGTTTCTTCAAGATGACGAGCTCAGCACTGAAGAGTGGGGGCCGCGGGGCCGGGAGACCCCCATGCACTCGCCGCTCCCCGGCCTCAGCCCTCGGGTGACTTGGAGCAAATGGCCTCCAGAGCTCAGATTCCTCTTGCACAAAATGCAAGCGTGCATGCCACGTCGGGCCGCCTCTGAAGTGAGGGGGTGCCTGTGGGTGTGCTTAGCACGGCGTCCGGCCCATGGGTCGTGGGGAGCCACGGTGGAGACAGCGCTGAGGGTGGGGACCATGACGAGTGTGTGTGTCCTGGGACAGCCGTACCAGAGTTGCAGGGACCGCTGGCTTCAACCACAGAAGCTTGCTCTGTCCCGGTTCTAGAGGCCGCAAGTCCTCAACCAGGTGTGGGCAGGGCCGCACTCCCTCCAGCGCGCTGGGGAGGGGTCTCCTAGCTCCTCCAGCTGCTGGGGGCTCCCAGCGCCACGGGCTAGTGGCGGTGCCCCTCCAGCCTCTGCTCGGTCCCTCCTCTTCCCATCTCTGTCGCAGACCCCTGTCCCCACACTCTTACCTGGACACTCATCACTGGCTTTAGCCCCCATCCCCCCCAGTCATCCAGGATGTTCTCCTCTCAATATCCTTAAGTTAACCACATCTGCAAGGACCCTATTTCCAAACACAGTCCCCTCCACATAGGTTCTAGAGGGTGGAGGCCGACACAACTTCCAACCCATTAGAGCTGGGTTTTGCCCCCCGTCCATAGGGCCCACCCCTGTCCCGCTCTGCGACTCTCAGGCTGGGACGTCCCCCCCATCAACCACCCCCAGCGATGCTGCCAACCTGGGCACCAGGGGCAGACTGGGAGGTGGGAGGAGGGGGCAGGTCTTCCTCGCTGGTTTCCTGCCTCTCCCCCAGCTCCGCCCGGCCTCCTCTGAGCTCTCCCTGCTACTCCATGTTCTCCGCCCTACGATCCTGGGGTCCTAGTCTCCGGGCATCTCAGTGTCCCCCGTTGGCTTGTTCGGGCTCCCTGCATTGTGTCACCAAAGCCGCACAGTCAGTCCCTCTGTTTGCAATCCTTGGCGTGGCGCCTCTTGCCCTGGCGGGTGTGGTCATTTGCTCTGCGGGAGGAAAGCTGGCTGTCGCACCACAGCCCCGGGGGAGGAAAAGCTCCCCGTTCACTGTGCGAGGAGTGGGAGGCAGGATTAGACATGAAAGAGGTTACGCACACGATAAGGCATAAAGTCTCAGGGAAAAGGCCAGATTCCTCGCCAGGGTAGACACGGGTGACCACAGTGGATTTCCAGTGCAGAAAACAACCCACCTGGACCTTGGGGCCCGGGGTTGTCTGGCTTTGGGTCCTGTGAACCCCTCAGCTGCTGCCCTCCCAGGCCTTAGGGCCAGCCCCTGGGCAGCAGGAGGTGGCAGGCCAGATGTGAGACCCCTCGAGGGAGCCCCGTGGCCACGGAGAGGAAGGCCCTCAGGCCGCCGCGAGCCCAGAAAATGTCCGAGGCAGGCCTGCAGGGATGGCCTTCCATGCCAGCCTGTCCTTTCTTGTTACAAAACGCATTCCCATCGGTGGCCTCCTTGAGTCGCTCCCCGAGAGCACCATCGAGGGGAGCGCGGGACGGAGGATGTCGTCGCCATCCAACAGAGAGGAGACGGAGCTCGGAGCAGGCCTGGGGAGACAGAGCTCGGAGCAGGCCTGGGGAGACGGAGCTCGGAGCAGGCCTGGGGAGACAGAGCTCGGAGCAGGCCTGGGTCTCCTGGCTAGTGCTTCTCCCCCAGCCCAAACCCTTCTGCCTAAAAGATGAAACCGCACCATGAGAGGTGGGTGCACGTGAGCTGTGGTGACCTCCAAAATGGGCTCCTCCCTGAAAGCCAACCCACCTTAGAGCACCGCAGGGCCGCAGCCCCACGCCGAGGCCATGCTTCCTTCGGGACGCTCTTTGCCAGCACCTGAGCACGGCAGGGACGCCCCGACAGATCCTTTTCTGCGGAACGTGGGCCTCCTTGCAGGAGTGACTGGTTAGGGTCCCTGGCGGCCGTGCTAGCCCTCACAGCCTTCTAGAACACACACCGCGCACCCTCTCCTGAGCCCGGGCTCGGACCTGCCCCAGGCCCAGCAGGCACCCCTCCTGTTTCCCCTCACACAGGCGTGTTCCCTGCTACCATCCGCACTTTCCATCCTGGGCTGGTGTTTGCTTCTTGGTCAACACAGAGTTACACACGGCCCGACGGTCACACCCCTGCTGAGGACAGAATAAGTGGTTTCCTCGGCCGTGAAAGCCGCTTGGTCCGTCTTCCTCAAGAATCACGAAGTCAGTGAACCCGTAGACCCTCCCCCTGCCAATTTTCCAGAGCACGTGTAGAAGCTGGTGCCCCTCCCGACCCCTTCCCTTCCTCCACAGCCTCCCTCTCTCTCTCTCTCTCTCTCTCTTAGGTGATACACCGCAAAGCAGACAAGGCGAGTGTCCTTGGGGGCACTCCTACCTTGCAGATCATTTGCTAAAACCTCTTAGCAGCATCTTGAAATTGTGTTCAGGCTTGAGGCCACGGCAGCCAGTGCTGTGACCTGGAACGGTCCCCCGGCGGGACATCAGGGCTCTGAGGCCCTACGCACGTGCACCAGTGCAGGGGAGCTGAGTGGAGGGGAGCCACTCTTGACAGCCCATCTGTCCTGGCCTGTGTCTTTCAGAATTTGTTGGTGGGGATGGAAGAGGAAGACTGGTTCATCGGAGACGAGGCTCAGAAAAGGCGAGGGGAGCTTAACCTGCAGTATCCTGTCGCCCGGGCGACCATCACTAACTGGGACGACATGGAGAAGGTGGGCTCAGCTTCTGTGGCGGGGGGATGAGCTCTAGGACATTCGGTGGCATTTCTACTGCCCTGGAACCTGGGGAGGGAGGTGTCCCAGCCTCCGGGGCTCTCTCTGTCCCCGCAGACACTACATCACGCTCCTGACTACACGGGTTGTGGAGTCAGACCCCTGAGCCTGAATCCTGTCTCCGTGACTTACTATCTGTGTCATTTTGGAAAAGTAACCCTCCTCCCTGGCCCTGTGTTTCCTTATCTGTAAGAAAGGGGTCTAATTCTTCCTTGTGCATCACACTCGTGTAAGGATTAAAGGAATGATGGACAAGGAATCCCTACTCCACTCCACACCTAGGACGGCCGTTTAAAAGCAGCAACAATAGAAAATGGCAAGTGGCGGCCTCAGGACCTTGTGCCTGGCTGGTGGGAATGTAAAATGGTGCAGCCTCTGTGGGGCACTGTATGGTGGTTCTTCCAAAAGTTAAAGGACTGAAAACAAGGACGGAAAGGACATCTTCATACCCATGGTCAGTGAGGTGTTACCACAGCCAAGACACAGGAACAAGCCAGGTGCCCGTTGGCAGACGGACGGGTGAGCAAAATGTACTGGATACGTACGGCGGACTATCACTCAGCCTTGAAAAGGAAGGACGTTTGAACGCCAGCAACAACATGGCTGGACCTCGACACGGCGCTCCATGAAATAAGACAAAAAAAGGACAAACGCCGCGTGATCCCACCCTTAGTTGGAAGATTCATAGAAACAGAAAGCAGGATGGTGGGTGCTGAGGGCTGGGGGAGCGGGAATGGGGGGTTAGGGCTTAAGGGGGACAGAGTTCTAGTTGAGGACAATAAAAAATTTCTGGAGACGGGAGGTGGCAACGGTCGCATGGCCACGTGAAGTGCTTCATGCCGCTGAAGCGTACACTTTCGTAAATGGTAGATCGATAAATTTTATGGGATGTGCATTTTACTGTAAGAATAAAATGCCTTAGTCCAGCACAGTACGCATGTAATGAGTGTGGCTATTTGGACCACTCTGTCTCAGGATCTGAAGGTTCTGATCCGGGTCTCCGTATATGGTTGAAGCTCGCATGCTCCCTGGGAAGAGAGATTAACTTTCTGTGCTTCATAACAAGCCATCCCGAAACTCAGAGACTTAAAACACTGATGGCCGCCTAGTACCTCTCATGGTTGCTGTGGGTCAGGAATCTGGCAGTAGCTCCGTTGGGTGGTTCTGGCTTGGGGGTCCCGCGTGAGGTAGCAGTCAGGGGTCGCGTGGGACCGCACCATCTGAAGGCTCGACCGGGGCTGGAGGAGACGTGACCAAGGCCGCGTCCCGTGCAGCCGGCAAGGTGGTGCTTCTTGGGGACCTCTGCAGGGCCGCTTGAATGTCCTCACGGCCTGGTGGTCGGCCTCCCACAGAGGGACCAATCGAGTGGGTTGACATGAAGGCTTCAACGGCTGTATGCCGCAGCCCTGAAGGCCACATGCCCTCGCTTCTGCCGTACTCTCTAGGTGACATGAGCCAGCCCTGGTTCGGCATGGGCAAGGTCTGCCCCAGGCTGGATGCCGGGAGGCGTGTGTCCCTGGGGGCCGTCTTGGAGGGTGGTTGTGGGAGGGTCCCTCCCAGACGCTCTTCCTATCTGCGCAGCTGAGGTGGTGGCTGTGGGCGTGGCTGCGGCCCTCCAGGAGTGTGTGGCAGGGGATGCAGAAACTGAAGCAGTGTAGACAGGTCTGGAGTGTGTAGCCCACCAGCTCGTGGGACCCCGGCCACCTGAGCTGTGGCTTCCACCCTTCCTTCCCCACCCTGTCCCATCACTGAGCCCTATAGAACGGACTTCCAGCGCGTCTTCAGCTGGTACCGGCCCTTGGTTCGGTTCTTGCCCAAATACCAGGATCATTGCAACAATCCTCCCCATGGGGCCCCTCCTCCTGCCTCACCCCTCAGTTCACCCCTACACAGCGTGCTGAGTGCCCCTCCTCCATCTGATCCTGCCACATCCCTGCTCCCGTCCGTCAGCAGCTGGACGTCCAGCCACGAGCCCACGCCTCTGGCTTTTGCTGTTTGCCAGGCGCCATCTTGTTTGTGCTTCCGTGGCCCGGCCCCAGGCCCCCCTTTCCTGAGACGCTCCCCCATCGGAACTTCCCCCAGGGAGGGTGTCCCTTACTTCTGTTTTCAATTCTTCATGGAGCCTCCCTCCCCAGAGGCAGGCAGGACCTTCATCCAGAGTAACTAATTGTTGCTTCTTGAACACCTACTGTGCGTCAAGCACTCTGCTGGGTGCTATGGCCTGAACCGTGTCCCCCAGTTTCCTCCGTTGGAGCCCTGACCCCCAGCACCTCAGAATGTGACCATATTTGGAGATGGGGTCTTAAAAGATGCAATTAAAGTAAAATGAGGTCACTAGGATGGGACCTTATATGATCTGACTGGGGTCCTTCTAAGAAAAGGACAATAGGACACAGATGCCCTCAGAAGGACAACCCCATGAGGACGCAGGGAGAGGACAGCTGTCCACACACAAGGACAGAGGCCTCGGAGGACCTGGCCTCGCTGACTTCCCACCTCCGGGGCTGGAAGACAATGATTCCTATAGTTTAAGCTGCTCGGGCTGTGGTACTTGTCATGGCAACCACAGAAAACAAATGTCCTAGGCTGTCTACAAATGTCCTGTTTGGTGATCAGTGATGTCCTCGTGATCCTCTAGGAGGAAGGGAACATTTTCCATTTTAAAGATGAGGAAACAGCTCGTAAAGTCAAGTCGCTTGTCTGGCACACACCTGGCGCCACGGTCCATGCTGCCCTCTCTTGGGGCTCGTGTCCGAGCATCACTGTTTGCTCCCCTCCCCGCTCAAGGATGGTACACAGCGGAGGATCTGTGTCCCGCCCACAGCTGCGCTGTCTTTCCTGCCGTGAACCCCACAGCGAACCCCACAGTTATATCTGCTACTGCAGAAGCCACTTGCGGTGTAAACAGGATCTGCCCCCTTGCAGGAGCTGGGCCGGGGCTCACCGAGACGCCGTGTCACCTTCTCTCGCCGCAGATCTGGCATCACTCCTTCTACCAGGTGCTCTGCGTTGCCCCCGAGCAGCATCCTCTGATGGTGACTGAGCCACCCTCAAACCCGATGTCCAGCAAGGAGAAGATGTCACAGGCAAGGGGCTGGGTGCTGGGCGGCAGGGCCGGGGAGGGCAGCGGCTCCGGCCTCCTCCTGAGCCTCAGGATGCCCTCGGGGTGTCACCTCTCTGCTGAGCAAGAGGCAGACAGGGGATAGATCTTCCCCCTTTGACTTTAGCGGTGAGCATGACGGCCACCATGGGAGAGTGCACCAAGGGGCAGCTGTGGGCTAGGAGTTTAATATGACTTGCTCAGTTAGACCCAAGAGCTGGGCTGTGGCAGGGCAGTTCAAGTCCTGCTGCACAGATGGAGACACGGGAGTGTCTAGGAGCGACAGTGTTAGGGCTGAGGCCCTAGGGCAGAAGTCTGGGGGACCCACTGCATCTGACCTCAAGGCCTGACCTCGCAGCCTCACCCTGGGTCCTGCCCTGTGGCGGGGGCCAGCTCGGAGGTCCAACCCTGACTCGAGAGCTCCCATCTTCCCCGGGGCCCGATCTCCAGGAAGGGGTTGGTGGTAAGCGTGGATGGATTGACCAGGACGAACTGGATTGAACTGGTTCTCAGAGGTCGTTAAGGACAGACAGGTGGGAAAAGGAGGGTGTCCCCCCCATAGGCTGCAGAGTCTTCCTTAGGGCTGGAGGGGGGTCCAGGTGGGGAGGGGGCTGCAGGGGCTGCTGCTGGCTGTCCAGGTTCCAGTTACAACTAATGAGGACATCCGTGAACTAATTAAGCAAACAGCAAGTTTCCACCACCTGGCCCAGAGCCCCTAGAGCCCAGTGGCATCTCCTGCAGTGAGCAGCAACCCAAAGGGCAGGCCAGGGCCCACGCTCCCACCTCACGTGGAGGAGGCGTGCTCCGTGGCCCAGAAACAGAGCACCAGCAGTCGGAGCGCAGGTGTGAGCTGTGCCTCATTTAAAACAAAGCCCGGAAGGGGCCAAGGAATCTTCCTCTGCACGCGGATGGGGAGATCACAGAAGTGGGCCACCGCTGGGCTCCACATGGACAGGGGCACAAAGCCCACGGCCTTGAAACGGCAGGAATCTGGTCTGAGAACCCCACGTGCCCATCAGTGACCCAGTGAGCTGGGGGAACAAGAGAGAAGCAGGGTTGTCTCCTGCGGGAGGGGATGTGTGAATCCCGAACTCTCTTAGGTTTCTCCAGAGAATCAGAATGGTGGGACACACACACACACGCAGACACACACACACGCACGTGCACACACACAGACATAGAAAGAGACGTGGTCTAAGGGATTGGTTCATGTGGTTATGGAGACTGACAAGCCCCAGGATGTCCACGGTGAGTCAGCAGGCTGGAGCCTTCTGGTCTAATCTGATCTTCAACTGATTGGATGAGGCCCACCCACCCTGGGAAGAGTAACTGGTGTTATGCAATCTGTCCATCTAAATGTTAATATTACCCCCAAACACCCTCATAGACGCCCTCAAAATGGCGACTGACCACATGTCTGGGATCCCCATGCCCCAGTCAAATTGACACATGAAATTAACCCTCATACAAAATACTGCATGGGCCACCCAGCCTGTCTCTGGCCCTTCCCCGCCTCTCCTGGGCCCACTGCCTGCCTGCCTTTCTGCCCCCAATCTCTCTGAATTCACCCCCTAATTACATCAAGATCCCAGCAGGAAAGCAGAGGGACCCTCACATGGGGCCGTTCTGGGGAGACTTTATCGAAGAGATTACGTACAAAGGTGAGCAGAAGTTTTAACACAGCGACGGGAGCTTGTGCAGAGTTCTGGGCCAGTAATGAGGAGCCATTGTCCCCTAAACCTGGCAGAGCCACGACTGGTTCGGAGCCCCGAGAGGGCCTCTGCCGGGAGCTGTAGCCTTGGAGGAGCCACAGGGAGGGAGCAGGGACATCCCCTCTCCTGACTCCCTCAGACCTCCTTCTGCGGTCCCCGTGGGTGGAACCCTGTGGGTCGCCCAGGGCAGGGGAGCCTCTGACTACAGCCCAGGGCAAAGAAAGATCTAGAAATGTGGGACTTTTGCACGACGATGGAAGGCAGCGTCCCAGAAGCTGCAACAGACTGAGAAGGGCAGGGCGGGCTTCTCTGGGAGTAAATCTGCATTAGCGGGATGTCTGGGGCACATCCCAGCGGAGAAGCTGGTGAGGGGAGCAGCCCAGGGTGCAGGGAGGAGCCGGATTCTGGCCGCGGCTCTCCCAGCCTGTGCGACCTTGGGTGGAATCCTCCCCGTGGTGTCTTAATTTCCTTATCAGAAGGATGATAACGGTCACGGAAGAGAGATGAGTTGATGCCCTGGAGTGTGTGTCACCGTGCTCCGTGCCCCTCGAGCATTCAGTCTGACCGCAGGATCCCCGGAGACCCTCCCAAGCTCTGTGACCTCCGTCCTCATTCCGGTGTGAATAGGCAGGAATCAGTCTCTGCATGAACACGTGTTTTTGCTTCTCTTGGGTAAATCCCCAAGCCCGCACAGACAGCTACCCCCAGACACAAGCTCAGTGATCCCAGCAGCGAGTCGCACACACAGGGGTGGACCAGCTCCGTGCGATATTGTCTAAAATGCTGTCTTTCCTGGATTTCGGGGTCTTTGCTAGAGGGCAGCTGGTTCACTTCTTCAGCATCCCACACCCCAACCCCTTCCCTGCTGGTCCTGTCCCCCTCCAGGGCCATGGTAGACCTGCCCTACTTGCCCCAGAACTGGGTACCGAATAATGGGGGACAGTCCCCAGGCCCAAGAGCCAATCCACAGGGATCCCTCCAAACCCAGCTAAGCACCCTGCTGGCCGTCCCATCAGATTGCCCTGACAGCTCCAGCTGGCTGACACCCCATCCGGACACGCAACCCTCTGGTGGCCCCGCCTGACAGGCTTGGAGCTGTACCTGACAGAGCTTGTGTTCAGTTGTTCGAGGGACTGTGTGTTGGTCCCCCATCAAAAGAATCTTGAGGGGCACCTGGGTGGCTAAGTGGGTTAAACCTCTGCCTTTGGCTTAGGTCATGATCTCAGGGTCCTGGGATCAAGCCCTGCATCGGGCTCTCTGCTCAGCGTCCTCTCTCTCTGCCTGCCTCTCTGCCTGCTTGTGATCTCTCTCTCTCTCTCTCTCTCTCTGTGTGTGTCAAATAAATAAATCAAATCAAGAAGAAGAAGAAGAAGAAGAAGAAGAAGAAGAAGAAGAAGAAGAAGAAGAAGAACTTTGAAGTCTTCTAGACCCCAGTGTCCTCATCTTGCGGGAGAATCATTCCCTCATCAGCCAGCTTCATGGAGGCAGTGCCCTGCCTACCACCCCTGCCACCTCCTCCCTAACATTCTTGTCCACTGGTCTCCCATGTGTATGGACAATGTCCATACATCGGGGGGATGCCTTGGGCAGCCGAAGCAAGGATGTGTCTCCCCGCCCGCGCCCCCGGCCCTGTGTGCAGTCAGTACCTAGGACAGCGTTCTTGACCGAGCTGTGTGTGGACTAAGCGGCTGGTGCACAGGTAACACACAGTAACTGATAGTTGGCGGTTTGTATCATAAAACAAGTAAATCATCCCATGTCTAAGTGTTGGGATTCGTGTAACATCTGCCTATCCTCTAAGAGCAGAAAGAACAAAAGCGTGGAGGGGGCAATGTGGAGTCCACAGAGGCACTGGGAGTTCAGCATCGTCCGCATCGCGATAACATGGTGGCCCAGAAGATGATGCAAGCCCCTCAGTCCCGTGACAGTGTTAGGTCTGCGCCGTAGGGTCCCTGGGAAGGATGCAAGCCCACATTACAGACTGGGAAACAGCACCAAGAGCTCCTGCGGCAGAGCTGGGATGAAGGCTGGCCTGCACCCTGCTCCGTGTCTGGCTCTCTGGGCGAGCCGGGTGCCCCTGCAGATGGGCTCCGTGTGTCCTAGAACTAGGGGAAGACCCACCAGCTCTTCCGTACACTGGCCTGACTGCCACTGCTTCCCGTTCCTTCTCCGCAGATCCTGTTTGAGACCTTCAACGTGCCCGCCCTGCACTTAGCCAACCAAGGAGTCCTTTCTCTCTACGCCTCGGGCCAGACCTCTGGTGAGTGGCCGTCTTGAAGCCCACGCCTGTCCCCTTCCTCCCTGCCAAATAATAAATAAAGAGAAGGGTCCACAAGACGCACCCTGCGTGGCCCTCCTCCCAACGGCCCTCCCTCCCTCCTGGATAAGCCATTTGCTTCCAGTCATCTCGTGGTGTTCCCGAACAGCTTTATCGAGGTGTCATCTTTGTGCAACAAAGTCCGAGTGACTAAGGCACGCAATGTGAGAACTTTCGACGTGTGGACACACTCGTGCTGCCGTCAGCAATGTCAAGATAACAAAAGTATTTGACGCTCCTAAACGTTTCCCCCCACTCCCCGCACTGCCCCGCTCCAATCTGCCCTCACACGAGTTTGCATTCTCTGGAATTTTGTATAAACGCTGTGGGGTATGCTCTCTTTTGTCTATGGCTTTTCCCCCCTTGAAACAATTATTTGGAGATTCATTCGTGCTGCTGTTTATATCAATAGTGCATTTTTTTGTATCGCCAAGCAGTATACCACTGTGTGAATGCCCTGTACTTTGCAGATTCATTTACCTACGGATGGACATTTGGGTTCTTTCCAGTTGGGAGTTATTATAAATAGCGCTGCTGTGGATATTTGCCTACAAGTCTTTGCATGGACATACCCTTTCATTTCACTGGGGTAAAAATACCTAGAAGCCAAATGATTGGGTCAGAATGTAGGAGTATTTTAACTTTTTAAAAACTCCTCCAAGCTAGCTCCCAGCATGACTGCACACTCGGCTTGCATTCCACCAGCCTCGTGAGCATGGCGTGGCCAGTCTTCGTGGTAGCCCTTCTCGCAGGTGCACAGGGCATCTTGCTGGGGTTTTGACCTGTAGGTCCCTGACAAGCAGGGGCAGGGAGCGTGCCTTTGGGTGCTAATTGGCCACCCCATGTCTCCCTTGGCGAAGTGTCTGTTCAAATGTTTTGCCAAATTTTCACTGAGTTCTTCATCTTTTTTTTTTTTAGGATTTTATTTACTTATTTATTTGAGAGAAAGAGAATGAGCACAAGTGGGCGGGGGAGGGGACAAGCAGACTCCGTGCTGAGTGCAGGGCCCGATGCTCAGTCCCAGGACCCCCACATCCTGACCTGAGCTGAAATCAAGAGTTGGATGCTCAACCCGCTGAACGACCCAGAGGCCCCTGAGCTGTTCTGTTCATCTTTGAGTTTTGAGAATTCTTTGTGTAATCCCAGTACACGTCTCTTGACAGGTATATGTTTTACAAAGACTTGTCCCCGGTCTCTGGCTTGGCTTTTTGTTTTCTTCAGCATGTGCTTTGAAGAGCAGAAGTTTCTAATGTCACTGAAGTCCGATTTACCCCTTTTTCTGTGTGTGTGTGGATTATGCTTTTGGTATAATATCTAAGAAACACACGCTGAACCCAAAACTTTTCTGCTATGATTTCTCCCAGTGTGGAATACAGATGTGTATATGGAATATGGTACAAATCGAGTGTTTTTCTGGTGCACATAGATTCCAGTTGTTCCCACACTATTTGTTGAAAAGACCCTGCATTCTTCGCTGAATTATCTCCATGCATTTTTGGGAAAATCAGCTGTCCATATACATGTGGGTCTAGTTCTATACTCTGTTCTGACCCATTGATCGATTTGTCTACCTGTAGGTTGATACCACATTGTCTTGATTACTGCAGCTTAATAAGTCTTAAAATAAGATAATAGTGCTATACCTTTTGTCTCTCTCTTTTTTTTTTTTTAAATAACATTTTGGCCATTCCAGGTTCCTGAATATAAATTTCAGAATCATTTTGTCAATTTCTACCAAAGAAGTGTCTTTGGGTTTTGATCAGAATTTCGTTGAATTTATAGATCAGCCTGGGGGAAACTGACATCTTAACAATATTGTGTCTCCTGAGTAATAAATATGATATATCTCTTAAGTGTTCTTAATTTCTCTTGGCAGTAATTTGCAGTCACAGTGTAAAAGTTGTAGAAATCATTCATCAGATTTGTTCTAAGTATTTCATAAATTTGATTCTATTATAAATGGTAACTTTATTTCAATTTCTAATTGTTCAGCACAAGTATATAGAAGTACAATCGGCTTTTGTATACTGATACTGTATCCTGGCACCCTGACTAAACTCATTTATTAGTGCTGGTAGGATTTTCTGCTTAGGCAACCATGCCGTCTGTAATTTTACTTCTTTACTTCCAAACTGGGTGCCTTTTATTGTGTGTGTGTGTGTGTGTGTGTGTGTGTGTGTGCGCGCGCGCGCGTGTGTGTGTTTTCTTGCCTTGTTGCTCTGGCGAGAATCTCCACTTCCAAAGCGGTGGGAGCAGACATCCTTGTCTTGTTCCTGACCTCAGAGGGAAATCATTCATTCTCACTGAAAGACTGAGAGCATTGTTAGCTGTAGGTTTTTCAGTTTGAGGAAGTTACCCTGTGTTCCTAGTTTGATGAGAGTGTTTTTCTTTTTAAATCATGAATGGACGTTGGATTTTGTCAAATGATTTTTTTCTGCCTCTGCTGATAAGATCATGTGGAACTTTCCCTTTTATTTCTTTACATGGTGAATTACATTAATTGATTTTTGAATATTAAAACAACCTTGCAGTCCTGAGATAAAACCAATTTGGTCATGACATGTTATCCTTTGAGTATATTTGCTACAATTTTTTAGGAGTTTTGTGTCTGTGTTTAAGAGGGATCTCGGTCTGCCTGTTCTCTCCTTGTGATGTGCTGTCTCTCAGGGACCGTCGAGACCATCCTTTGTTGTTTGGTGCCCAGTATCTTGAAAACTATTGTTTCCTATATTTCTGTTTTAGGTGTGCATGGGGGGGACCCACTCTTTGTTCCCTACTTTAGCTAGATGAGGAGGTCTTCTTGACTCATTTTTGCTTCATTTTAAATGTGAAATCCTTGGTTACCAGATCCAGCGCGTGAAAGAGGTCAACCCGCCAGACCCCTGATCCGCTCTGGGTGGCGCCATGAATCACCATTTCACACAAAGTGAAGCCTGAGTTTCCATGACCGCATCACTTTTGGACTAGCACAGAGAGATGTAGTTTACTTTGCTGACTGAAACATATGCCTCTCCCACTGCACCCAGCCTCTTCTGACACCCAAGTGCCACCCAGAGAGTCCCAGCACCTGCATCGATACCCAGTTTCTTAGGGAAGAAGCTGTTAAGAGCAGAACATTCTTCTTCCTCTTTTACCCTTTGGCAACTGCTGCTGATGTCTATATATCTAGTTTAACAAGAATATTTGCAGGTTTTCTGTCCGAAACAGTTGGTCCCTGGTCTGATCTGGATAAGCTTTATCCTTGCACACTGCCCTACGGAAGAAAGTTTTCTCCCTAGGCCCTTTGCTTTCCCTCCAATGATTTCCCCTTTACCCTCTCTTCCTGCAGGCTTGACAATCGGCAAGGGATGTCATGAACCCTGCGTTATGATGCTGGTGTGTTCTCTTGTCTAGGAACAACTATTGAATCTGGAGAAGGAATGACATACTTTGTGCCTATCATTGATGGCTGTCCTCTGCATCAGTCGACCATCCAGATGGACATAGCGGGCCAAGACCTAACATTGTACCTCTTGCAACTATTGACAGACAGTGGGCACTCGCTGGTGAGCAGAGGTAGGACATTGCTCTTCTTGGCCAGGTGAACCGGTCCCTGGGGTATAATATTACCCGCTTGGCTTACTTAACCTGTAGCCCTCAACTTGCAAAGCTAAAGCTACTTAAACATGGTTCAAGTTTTACAAACAACTCCATTTAGTGCTTGTGATGGTGATGGTGGTGATGGTGATGCTGGTGATGGTGGTGATGGTGATGCTGGTGATATTGGTGGTCATGAGGGTGAGGATGGTGGTGATAATGGTGGTAGTGATGGTGGTGGTGGTGGTGATGGTGGTGGTGGTGGTGACGATGATGTTGATGGTGACCCAATGATGATGATGACTGGTTAAGCTTTACACAGTACTTACTTTGTGCAAAACACTTGGCTGAGCAAACTTCATGCTCTGACACCAGGAGGGGGATTAGTTGTCTCCACTGCAAGAGGAAGAGGCTTAGAAGAAGTAGGCGACTTCAACATCACAGACTAGCAGGTGTATCACCTGGGATATGAACCCAAGGACTCCAGATGAGGATGCGTCTGTTCCACTTTTCACCCACTTCCTGTGCTACGTACCCAGATGTATAACTTGCGTGACACCCATTCCCCACAAGCCTGCAGTCCTGCATTATACTTCCTGGTCTTCCCAGGCCAGAGGTCTGTGTCCAAAGCCACACAAAGTGTGGAACGCTTCAGAACAGCAGCGGTTAGAGGAAAGCAAGGGGAAGTGAGAAGGATCAGCCAGGACAAAGGCACTTTGTGGACAGCTCACACTCACCAAGGTCTTATGTGCATTGTCTCACCCCATCTGCGTGGCAATCCTGGGGGTGGAGATTAATCCCAATCTTAGAGATGAGGAAAGGGAAGGCTAACAAGAGAGCGAACTTGCATAAAGCCAAGCTTGGTAAATGGCAGAGGCAGGATTTCAACCTAGGTTCGTCTCACCAAAGCCCAAAGTAGGTGAGGAGGAGGGAACTGCCTGGAGAGTGCAAGGTCCCAGAAGCCAGGGAGAGAGAAGGGAGTGGCCAGCAACACCAGCTTCTGGAGGGAAAGAGGCCGAAGAAGAACTGAGGAGAGCGGCAGGATTCTGGAAGAAGGAAGGCAGGACAGACGCAGACAGAGCGGTTTAGGGGGAGGAGGTGGGGGCCGAAGTCGGATGTCAGTGGGCTGAAGAATCGGGGGGATTTCTAGGCAGGCAGGTGCTGGGAGCTCCGATCCAAATTCAAAAGCAGCGGTAAGCAAAATAGAAAACCATACATAACACCAAAAGACATAGCAGGCTCTAAAACCCATGGTCAGCCACCCAGAAGGTGGGAGGGTGTGACCTTCCAGATGTTTCCGAGTTAGGGGGCCTGGCCGGCTTGGGCGGTTGTCCACAGGAGGGGGCAGCTGGGAGCTGTTTGCAGCCAACCTTCACAGCAGGTGGGCACGGGCGCATCCACAGCAGCCGGTACTTCAACAGATACCAAGACTGGGGTTGATTTTCCAACCCCCTAAAAACACACACCGTACACAGTAGAAATCAACGTACGATGCTGACGTTTCCCAAATGCTGGTGTCACACTTTAGGACCCTCTGATCCACCACTCTCGTTCACAAGCCTGGGCCCCAGCACACGGTACAGACCAAGAGGGGCTCGGATCTGAGATGGACGCAGGAATGGGTTCTGTGATCCTGGCGCCGCGTCCCCACCCGGAGGAGCTGAGTCTCCAGGAAGATGCTCCCGGGGGTCAGAATGCTCCTGCGAACCATCTCGGTCACGCCCTTTCCTGTCCCCACTTCGCCTCTCCCCCATAGGTGACTGGGAGTACATCCGGGACATAAAAGAAAAATGCTGCTACGTGGCTTCGGACTTCAAGAAGGAAAAAGTGAAAGCCAGATCTCCTTCCTACGCACGGAAGTTTCAGCTGCCCGACGGCCAGGAGATCACCCTGGGGTCGGAGAAGTTCCTCTGCCCCGAAGGGCTTTTCCAGGCAGACCTCATGGGTGAGCAGAAGGAAGGGACCCGGGTGAGCCCAGACGTGGACCGCGGGGCCACCGGAAGGGGGGTGGAGCCCAGCAGCCAGGAGGGACCATTGCTCCGAGTACAAGTTGGAGCCCCTCTCAGAAGTCCTGGGACCTCCGCGATCACTTACTAAGTGTGTGTGTGCACCTGTGACTTCGGCTGCCCCTGCTCGTGGGCTGGAGGCGTCCGTCCCCCCACATCTGGCACCTTCTGTTCAAGACGAGGAAACCCAGTGCAGAACACCGAATAGTTGTCAGGTGTCCCTGGGTCCTATGCGGGACTGCACATGTCTTCTGTTACGTGTTAGTCATACTCCTCCTGCTCACAAAATAATTTGAAATATACAAATGGAGACAGATCAGGAGAGCTGAAACCATAGATCTGGAAGGAACTTCAAACGTTTGGCTGATGGAGGGATTTTTTTTTAATTCTGGTATAGTGAACGTGCCGTGTTGTGTTAGTTTTAGGCGTACAATGTGCTGACTCGGTGGTGCTAGACATCCCCTGGTGCTCGCGACGACAGGCGCACCCCTTCGTCCCCATCTCCCACTTCCCCATCCCCCGCTCACCTCCCCTCTGCGGACCATCAGCGAGTTCTCTGCAGTTAAGGGTCTGTTCTTGGTTTGTCTCTCTGTTTTTTTTTCCTTCCTTTGTTCATCTGTTTTGTTTCTTAAATTGCTCATTCATGTGAAATCACAGGATATGTGTCTTTCTCTGATTTATTTCACTTCGTCTAACACCTTCTAGCCGCATCCGTGTTGCTGCCAATAGCGAGATTTCTCTCCTTTTTATGTCCGAGTCGTAGTCCTTCGTGCATGCGCGCTTCCCCTCCTCTGCAGCCTTGTTTACAACGGCCAGACTGGGGAAGCAGCCACACTGATCTGGACATCTTAAACGAGAGCTGAGTTGGCTAAGCTCCCCGGCAGGCAGGACAGGACGGGAAGAAAGTGATGGATTATAAAATCCACATTGACTGGGAAGATTTCCAGGTTGTCACGGAAAACCAAGTATTTCTTGGAATCAATTTTTTTAATAATTGCTGACATTTATAAGAGACGGGGGGAATAAAAGGACCAAGCCACTTCCCTGGGATGCGTGCCTTGTAAGGACATCACTTTTACACCTAGTGTGGGTGAGCAGGTGAAAAGCACCCCTGCTTTTCCCGTTGGACTATGCAGGGGACAGAGGCTTCAAACATGGCACGTGCCCCCAAAACATTAAGTGGACCCATGCAACCGACACTGAAGGGAGTCCCTCCCCCACGGTGTGAATTCACATCCCCCCCACCCCGCCAAGTCTGGGTCGACCTCAGTGAGCAGGGACACAGCTGACACCTTGACAAGAGTGGAGTGTTTGCAGCCTGAGCTCGTGCTCGCTGGACCTGCCACGTCCCGGATGATTCCAGAAGACCCACCGTTGCAGACTTCACCCCGAAGCTGCACAGTAGGTAGGCGCTATCCCACACGAGGAAATCTAGGCACCCTGCCCCTGTCTCTAAGGGCTGCTGCCATCAGAGCTGTGTTTACGTATAGGGACTAATGATGACTCTGGAAAGGGTGTTAAATCGACACATTGTGGCCATCATTCCGCAACAGACACAAACATCAGGTCCTTGCATTGTACGCCTGAAATTAATACAATATTGGTGCCAATTATACCTCAATAAAAAGTTAATTTTTTTTTTTAAAAAAAAGGAGGAATCAGTATAATTCTTCAGGCCACCTGAGCAAGGACATCCATTCCTAAAGCAATCGATAGCATAGCATTAAAAGTAATAAACGTCAGTCACATTCGGATACACATCATGTCTGAGGACAGCGGAGAACTGATACTTAGTTACTCAGCTGTTGGCTGTTGAGGCCCAGGGTTGTGCCATGTTGTTGAAATCCGTAAGGGCCCTGGGGTCACGGTGCTGGTGTCCGCACCCCCCCCCCCAGCTCAGTCTGCCCCTTCCTGGAGCCACGGAGGAACGAGCCCGAGGGTGCTGCGGGCTGGGCGCCCGGTCCCCACGCCTCTGCCTCTCCCCCCACCCCGGTCACTACAGGGAGAAACAGCCTGGGCATCCACATGAAGGCCTTCCAGAGTGTCAGCTCCTGCAGCCCTGCCCTCTGGAAGATTCTCTTCGGCCACATGGTTCTGTCTGGCGGCACCGGCTGCTGTCCCGGCCTGTGCTTCCGGCTGCAGAGGGAAATAGCCACCCTGGTGTCCCCCACCATCAGCGTGAAGGTACGGTGCCCCCCCCACCGACCCTCCCTTCAGGGACTTCCCGGGTTCAGGCCACAGATATTTCTAGAATCCCAGGGTTCCTGGTGTGCCTGGCATGCGGGCGGGGGCTTAGGGAGGGATCAGTGAACCGAAGTCAGGAGAATCCGTGGCTTCCATTCCAGTCGGGGGAGGGAGCCGTAAGCAGGACCAGTCAACACGCTGGGAAATAAGTGTGTTAGGAGAGGCTGTCAGCCACGGGGTGGGGGGCAGCGAGGGGAGGAGGGGCGAGGGGTCAGAGTGGGTCTCCCCGGGAAGATGCTTGAAGGCGCAGGGGAGACGCGGGGATATCTGAGCCAGCTCTGTCGGGCCGAGGGAGCGGCCCCTGGGGCGGCCCAGGGCTCTGCTTCCAGAAGGAGGGGTCCAGAGGGGGTGGGGGGGCTGAGATCTGAGATGCTGCGCAAGGGTGGCTGGGCGGCCTCCGGGCTGACCGTGGGGGCGGGGCGCGGGCTGGCAGCTGCAGGTGCAAGGTGGGCCTATGTTCCAGCGAGGGGCTCTAAGGCCAGGGAGACCCCAGGGAGGGACGTAGACCGGGAAGACCAGCTCAGGCGGCCGAGGGGGAGGAGAGGGGAGGGGACGGTGCGGACACAGGCCAGCTGTCAGGGCGGGCGCAAAAGGCCCAGAGTCTTGCCTTAAAGCTGGTCACCTGCGGGAGGAAAGCAGGGACCCTGCCCGGCTCTGCCCCTGCACGGGCTTCCCGCCCTGCCCTCCCGTGTCAAATTGTTATCTATGTGTTTCGTTTTAAATTAACAGCCTGTATTTCTTAGGGAAGTGTTAGGTTTCCAGGTAAATGGAGTAGAAGGAGTTCCTATATAGCCTCCCACCCCCGCCCGTGGCACGCACAGTCTCCGCGGCCACACACGTCTCACCCGAGTGAGTTTGTCACAGCCGGTGAGCCGACATCCCTGCGTCACGGCCAGCTGGGGTTCGCAGCCGGCGGAAGGCTCCTCTGGGGCTCATACGCCCTGCAGGTGTGAGGGATGTGTGACGGCAGGTGTCCACAGTGACACTATGACCCAGAGTCCCTCCGTGCCCTGAGACCAGGACCATGTCTACGCGTTCACCCCAGCCCAGCGCTGGGATCCACCGGTCCCTCGCTGTCCCCTTGCCGTGCTTTCTCCGGACTGTCGTGGGCATGGAATTCCACAGCGTGCAGGATTTTCAGATTGATTTCTTCCCAACCCCATTTTCCAAAACTGCTTTTTTTTTTCTCTCTCGTTAGGGAAGTAGCCCATGGTCGTGGCAGAGAACATGTAAGCAAAGTCTGGGTCCCCGGTTTAGAATTTCTGGCCCCGTTCGCACAGTGAAGAGCGCACCTTCTCGTCCGTCCCCATAACTGGACCGAATCAGCTCCGGCACAAGCCCAGCCTGGCTGGCCGGGGCTGGAGGGACCGAGTTGCCCATGCACTGTGGGTTCAATAATGGCCTCTCCCCCGTCAGCGACCCTGGGCCAAGGGCCGCCCTCCCCCCAGCTGTCCTCCAGCTTTGCTCTTTGCTCACTTCTGACCTCACAGCCTCTGCTGCACACAGTGGCTCATCTCAGAGCTGGGCCTCAGGCTCCGGGACCAGCCACATGCGTGCCCTTCATGGGTGCTTCTGCGGCAGGCTCGTGGGAGCCCCTGGCAGGGAGGCGCCAGCCCCCTCGTGCCCTGTGGCCCGTGCTCATGGCCCCTCTTTGCATCCTCCCTGGGAGGGGGAGGTACGGACACGCAGCAACCCGGGGGGCAGGGGCTGAGCCGCTGTGTCGGAACTTCTGTCCCTCCAGACCCGTGGACACCATTTCCCCAGACTCCACAAGTCACTCTGCAACACCCTCCCCCCAGGGTCCAGAGGCAGGAAGTGTGGACGGACTGAATCCCATTCCCTGAGCTTCCCATCCCTGCCAGCCGGGATTTCAGATCTGCTCGCAGGCAGGGCCCTCTCCAGGAGAACTTTCTGGCTCAGCCCTCAGCGTATCTTCTGCTACCTGCCCAGAGCCCCACCCGCCCTCTGGCATCCCCTTCCTTCCTCCCTCTGCCCCAGCCTGACATGGTGGACCAGGACGCACCATGAGAGCAAGCCCGGAGCAGCCATCCTGGCTCTGGGTGGCGTCTGTCCCTCCTTCCCCCTGGGGCAGGCAGTCACTGGAATGACAGACAAGAATCCGGAACCCCGAGGAAAGCAGACTCTCCAGCTGGAACAAGTGGACAGGAGCAAGGTGTCTTCCTTGCACGGTCTCAGCCCCCTTTGTGTGGATAACGTAAGATGCAGACAACACGGGGGAAACCACGACCCACCTTCCTTCCTCCACACCTGCAGCCCCTCTCCTGAAATGCTCGCTGCCGCACGCGCTGCCGTTAGAGCAGTGTGCCCCACCAGTAGTTCCTGAGTCTTCGGTGTGCCTCACCTGAGCGTAGGTGGCAAAGACGTCCGTGATCTTGGCAACCTACCGCAGGCCTGCCTCGTCACCCCCAAAGCCCGCAGCCCCCTTACTCCTTTGCAGGCGACATCTCAACCGTTCACCCCACGGCCTCCCTGTGCAGGTCCTGCACCCTTCGTGTGCTGTTCACTGCCCTTCTCTTGGCTCTCGAGAGCACTCGGGGCTGTTGCCCACAGTGAGCCTTCACTAAATGCAAACGTAAAGTACAGCTTAGCCCAGAACAGAAGGAAAGGGAGAGTCACATCCTGCCTTTGTGCAAAGCAACCTGACCCCCTCTGCTGTGGGAATCTGACTGCCCCCCCTCGCCCACAGCTGGGCTGAGCTGTGGACCAAGCTCTTCCATCCACCCCTCTTCTGAGTCCTCAGGAACCCCTCCCAGTAGCCCCCAAACCTCTCTGCATGAGGCTGGAAGGTACACCTGGTCCCCTTAACTGGGATGAGACTCAGCTCTGCCACAGCCTCGTTCCCCCCGTCTGCACTCTCCCTGGAAGGGACGGGAGATAGAGCACGTGAAACCCTCCCTCTGAAGGAGAGAAAAACTCTGTCCCTAAAAGGAGCTCATCCTCCTTCAGAGAAGAGCTGGTTCCCACGAAGCCAACTTGGAAAGTCATCAAACCTCCCAACAACTGGGATCCTGCTCGAACGACGTGCTTGGGATAAAACCTCAGTCATGATTTCCCCTTATTTCTTTCGAATGGCTTTTCCCTTAGGATCCACTTCTAAATGTGGATTTCCTGAGCCAGAAATGTGTGCACAGCAAAAGCCTATTGGAACCTACGGAGTAGCCAGGCTCTGGGCTGGTCGGCACAAGACACACAGCGACACACCCATGTCTGCTCGTCCTGGCATGGGGACAGTGGGCTGCTCTTTATTTATTTATTTACTTTGCCGTTTTGGAAATGGAAGGATACTTGACCCAAATGCCATGTTGACCCAGCGATGCTGAAAGTCTGTCTTTTGTGTTTGCTGTTACATTGTGTCAACGTTGGGATCCCTGTAGGCATGGCTGCCCCTGCTACCATGCAGCCCTACCCCAGGGGTACTGACTCTGCGCCCGGACATCCTCACCTCGTGACTTATTCCCTGCCTAACTGGACACCTGGTCCTCCCTGTCTCTGCCCCCTGTTTTGCATGACGCCACGGTTTTTAAGAGACTCATCCCAACTGAATGGATGGAAAGCAAATCATTGTTCTTGTTTATTTCTGTAATGACTACTGAAGGTGACTCGTTCTGCAAATGTTTCCCAGCTGTTCCCTCTTTTTCTTCTCTCTCTCTCTCTCTCTCTTTTTAAGCATATTATTGCTTATCTCAACCCTTTGGGCATTTTCCTGTTGGTTGTGTTGCGTTCTTCCGAATGCATAAACCACCCACAGTTTTGGGCAGGCTTTGTTTGCTTTTGCGTGTCCAGAGAAGACACAGATGGAGTAGGTGACTCTTACAGGTGATAGCCTATTGGTAGCAGCAAAGACAGATGGGGACTCTGGGTGCCGGGGACTGGCTCTCTCCTCTACCCAATGCCTGACACTGAACATGCTCTTTTCCCCCCTTCTGACTCTTCCTTGTTTTTTTTTTCCTTTAAAATTTCTGCAATATTTCTTTTCCTAACCACTAGCAACAAATGCTTCCCAGCCAGGCAGGGTCCTGTGGTGCGACAGAGCGAGAGTAACCGAACCTGATACCTTGTCCTCCATCATCCCACCTCTAGCCAGACCCTGGGCTTTCCAAGTCCTTGCTCCAAATCCCTTTTCCCCACTGACTCTGCAGCCAGGCGTTTGCCTTGCTGTTTTAGAATAAGGCTGTTCCAGCGTGGGGTGTCTACATGCCTTTAGGAAAGTCTGTGAACGCAGGAGGATGGCACCTGTCTGTCCTTGAGCAGGTGGATTTAGCCTGGAGCCTCAGGGGTCCCACCTGGGGATGGGCGTGGTGATGTGTGGCTCCTCCCAGTGCAGAGGGCTCTGGGCTTGGTTTGGAAGCCCTGCTCTCCCAGAATCAAAGGTGTCAGTCCTCGCTGAGCCTGAGTATGAAGCAACAGGGATCTTTCCAGGTTCTTGGATTCCCTGTGGGTTTTGTTGCGCTCCTCTGTATTTTCTAATTTTTCTGCAAAACACGTATGCCTTCCACATAGACTTTGTATAAGTTGAAGATGTGTCATGTGATTTGGAGTGAGTCTAAGAGCCAAGGGTGAGTCCTTTCTGCTCTTGCCTCTTTTATCCTGTAGTTTAAACCACAGGCCGACATGTGGGGACCAACAAGCATCCTCAAAAGTTGGAATAACCTGTATTTGCAGGGAGGGAAGAAACAACCACCCACTAGGTTCGCTTAGGGGCTGCAATTTTTTGTCCCAAATTTGGAGTAGTATTTTGATTCTGGCTTCTTCCCCTCTCTCCCCCCAACCCTTCCACCCCTCCCTCACCCCTTCTCTTTGCTCTCCCCCAACCCTTTGTCCTCTGCCCTCTCCAGGTGTCCAGCTGCCCCTCTTCCATACACAGCGCCTGGCTGGGCGGCTCCATCCTGTGCTCGCTGTCCACCTTCAAGGACATGTGGGTCACCAGCAAGGAGTACAAGGACATTGGTGCCTCTATCGTCAGGAGGAGAACCTTCTAATTTGTGGCTTTGTGTATCCCATCACTTGCCCCATCAATGCCAAGCCCAGGCTGAGCCCCAGCTTGGTTGAATTGATCAGAGCTCAGAACCAACTTGAACATGAGGGGGCCCTTCCTCGCCAGACTTCCGTAGAAGTGGTCAATAAAGGACAGACACTCTCTGTCTGGGCAAGGCTTGCAACATCTTGGGGCACTCACTCCACTAACACAGGGTGGTGAAGGGGAGGGGATTTCTGTGGAACCCTGGAGACCGGTCAGCACAGCTAAGTGTGTGACAGTAAGGAATATCCCCCAGGCTCAGTGCCATAACCCAAAGACTGTTTCCCCCTCACGCTGCATGTCCTTTGACGGCCAGCAGGGCTCTCTCCGGCATCATCCTCACTCCAGAATCCAGCCGGCAGAGCAGACACTGTCTGGAACATTGTCATTTACTGTGGGTGAGCATAAGAGTGCCCTGGTGGGCCTTCCATGGGCCACGAAATGCTCCAGCCGGACAGGGACACAGGGCACATCTGCTCAGTTAATTGGGCAGAATGAGTCACATGGCCCCAAACCACCTCAGGGACCAGGAGACGCCATCCCACACAGGAAGGACAGGGCAGATGCTCTTGTTCGGGAGGGTGGCAGTTGGGGCACAAAGATGCAAGGGGCTTGGCGTCCTTTGGTGGCTTCAATCCTCACGCGCCTGGCTGTGAGATTGGTTTATGAAAGTCAATTTCATGATTCAGGAACTGAAGCTAAGAGAGGCTAATTAACTTGATGAAGGTCATTTAGACAATGACGGGGAGTTCAAATCTGTGCATACACCTTGTAGGGGTGCAGAGGGTGAGCACCAGAGGAGAGGAAGGACCACAAACAGTGGAGGAGCAGCTCCCCTGCTGAGGACAAGGTTTCTGTGCAGACAGAGCCCTGGGAAAGCCCCACACGCAGATGCCATCTAGTGACATTTCTGAACATCGAAGGTGATGAATAAATTCTAGGCGTGCTGAGAGACAACCACAGCAAATAGGAAAACTCTAAAGTAGGCTACCAGGAAAAATCCAGCATGCCAGTTAAATTTGAATTTCAGAAATACAGCAAATCACTTAGAATAAGTGCATTCCAAACATTGTATGTGTTTTATCTGCTAAACCTGGTAACTGTACTCTAAAAGAGAGAGGTCTAACTGCATCAGAACTCCTACCTGCAAAGCTGGCACCAGAAGACAAGAAACTGCGGGAAATTTCCTACCTCGTCCAGCTGCTTGAACCAGCTGAGCCTGAACTCCACATGAGGACTCATTAGCTGAGAAGCCAGTAACTCTCACTTTTATTTAGTCTAGTTTGTAATTGAAGATGATTCTTCAAAGCAGACAAAGTCTGGGATACCATCTCATGACTTGTGAGGTACTTAACCTTTTCCTTGTCTGTATTTGAACTCTTAATTTTGCACTTGGACTTAGTCTCAGATTTTCTTCTCCAAATACCCAACTTTCAAGTATGGACATCCTGAGGTTTGGATTCACTCATTCCTTTTCTCATTCTTCCAAAAAGCTGCCTTCCACTATGGTTCATGGGGTGGAGAGGGTCAAATCAGGAGGACGTACATTGGAGTCTTAACTCAGGCACAATCCAGTTGTGAAGCCTAGAACAACTCATGTCCCCTCTTCAAGTCTCTGTTCTGCCCTCTGTGAGAGGGAATGTCACACAGCCAGAGGGTTGTGCAAGGTTTTGCTAAGGAAGGGCTCATTGTGGGGCCTCTGGGAGCACTCCAGGTCTCAACGTCTTCACCATCAGCACTGCAAACCAGTGCTGGCTCCCCAGAGTCAGAACCGGTCCGGCTGAGAGCTCCTCCAGCAGGCTGTTCACAGCTGTGGCATGGCCGTCTCTACCCCACATCTCAGCCTCCAGAACAAGCAGCAGGCTTGGACGGAAGGAATGTTCTGTGCTCCCTGGGTCCCTTTCCTACATCTGCTCTTCTGAACTTCTGGCAAAGGTTTGCAAGCACTGACTTTTAGCAGGTGTCGCGCTCAATGCTCAGCATGAAGAGATGAAAAGGCGTGGTCCCTGCCTCCCCAGACGTCAGCAAATGTCTGAGAGAGGCTCCGGGGTGCAGGGGATGCTGGTGTCAGGCTTGGAGAGGTGAGTGGATTCCCACCCCGTGCTCCATGCAGCGAAAGGGAAACAAATCATGACCAAGGCATCCACTACAAGGGCACATGTCACCTGAGTGCTGGAAATTTGTCTTGGGGAAGTACGAGCCGAGGGGGGTTTAAACAAGGAATAGAGCCCTACCAGAATCCAAGGAGGGGCAGTCTCACTGGGGCCAGCCTTTTCCTGGGCAGCCAGATGGCTAGGCCTGCAGTGGGCAGAAAGGGCCAATGCCCGGGGCCTGGGGACAGGGATCTCCAGGGAGGGCTAGTATCTGTGTGCTTGTCTGTCTCTGATTCTGGTCTTCTCCACGTGGGGATCTCCCCCTTGGTCAAGCTTCCTGAGCTGTTCTCGGCTTACAGTCTCCAAGGACGTCCCCACAGCCTGCTTGGAGTTTGCTTTCTCAGGACAGAATGCACAAATGGGAATAAGAGGAGGTGCAAACAGTGTTAAGTCGCCTGTGGGGTCCCGGAGGACCCCTTGAGAAGGTTGAGTAGATAGATGGATGGGTGGGTGGATGGATGGGTGGTCCCCAAGAGAGACTTTCCATTCCCTTTCCTCCTGGCATAGCTCAATAGGGCACTACCAGACCCTTCCAGAGGTTCAGTGGGAGGTGGAGGACGTTGTTCCGGAAGCAGTGTCCAGACATCGGTTCCTACACATTCCACAGAATGGCGTTAGGGGCTTCCAGCTGAACAGGGGCAGCTAAGAAGGAAAGAAGCCAAGATCTCCAGGCTTGGAGGACCCCAGGCTGCTGGGCCACCACCTGGGGGTGGGAATTGGAGAAAATCCAAGACCACTTGCACACCCACCCCCATCCCTGTCCCCGTGGGCAGGGGGAACTTCTCCTCCCTGAGGCCAGGAACCCTGGCACCCAGAATTCACATGTGATCTGGACACATGTGGGAGGCAGAGGGGCAGGCTGTCCTCCAGCTGGATGTCACTCAGCCCTCCTGCGGTGTGTCCAGGGCGGTCAGGTATGGACTATTCTTGGTGCCGTGAGTGGTGCAGATTATGGGACATGCCTGAGCCTGGGGCTCCATGTGGGCTCAGAGGCTGGAGGAGATGGAAACTCAGGCTTCCTGGGGACCACAAAGTAGGGTGTGGCCAGGAAGCTCCTCACAACCAGGAATGAGAGGTGATGGAATGTGGAGTTTCATTAGGGGCCTCCTTTCCCAGAGGAGCTGCCTGGCAGGGATCCCTTAAGGGTAAAGGTGGAAGCTCATGGAAGTCACACAGGAAGTGCCCACAGCCAGACCACAGACCACAACAAGGACACTGACCAAGGATGGGATGGTGTCTTCACCCTGGACAGTCAGGTAAGGAGCTGTCTCTTCACCCTCCCTCCACCCCATGCACACTGGAGCAGTGCAGCTAAGAGGGAGAGAAATGATGTAAACAGACCCCACCACTCTTCTCACTTACCTGCTCCCCTAGCAGAAGTCACGGCTAGGGCAACGAGGAGACATAGAGGGAGAAAGATGTTGAATCGAATATGACATTTATTCACCCGCCAATCCATCTATCCACACAACCACCCATCCATTCACCATCTGTCCATCCACCCACCCATCCATCTACCCATCCATCTACCCATCCATCCACCATCCATCCCTCCACCCACCCATCCATTCTTCCCCCCCACTCACCCATCCAACCACCATCCATCTGTTGATCCAACCATCTCCCCTTCTCTCCACTCACCCACACATCCAAACATCTATTTATCTATTTCTTACTTTGCGTGACAAAAGTCATGGTTAAAGCAGTGGGAGAGAGGTACTAAGGGGAAAAAAGGCCTGAATCAAATGGGATATGAACATTTTAAAACAGACAGGACCAAGTTGCAGAAAAAACAGCCAGGCTGCCTCAGCCCTAGTAAAAGCGTAACTTGCTCTGTGCCGGCCCCCCCGCATGTTATCTCCCTCGGTCTGCACCACAGTCATGGAAGAAGGAGGAGCTCCAATGATCCCTACTTAGGAGATGCACACGGAAGCCCCTGAGGTCCCATCACTAAGATTCAGTCCCAGGCAGTTGACTGGTGTCCTCTCTGCAGGAACCAGAAGTACCTGAACAGCAGTAGAATCAGGGCGAGCTCTCACCCAGATCACCTGCTATTCGATGGGAAAGAGCAGGGGTGAACCAGGGTCTGACAGCATAGTCAGAAGCAAACTAGGAAAACTCTCCATATTTTTATCCCAGTGAGTCAAAAGTCCTCAATAATGGGCTCCATACACATGTACCCAGAAATCTGGCTTGCCTGGGTTCTCGGAGCTGTATAACTATCAGCACCCAGCAAGTGATTTATAACAGCTACTCGAGCGTGAGTTTCTATTAAATACACAACAATTAGTGATCCTAATAGTCCATTACAACTTAATTGGATGCTGAAAATTGCTTTGTCAAAAGCTCGTTGAGGGATTGGGGTAAGTAATTGTAAATTCAGCTTCCAGATGACTTTCTTGTTCCTGGAGAATCGGTCCTCACCTTCGGCTGGATTTTCAGTTCCAGCCCAGGGGGTGACACGCCACAGGCAGCTCAGACCCCAGGCAGTCACTCCCCAGGAGGTCAGCTTGACTTCGGGTCTTCTGAAGTCTAGGCAGCAGCAGTGAGGGAGGGTGGTAGCAAGTCTCAGCTGGAGCCATTCTACCACTCCCAGGGCTTCCTGACCCAACTGCAATTTCAAGTTCAGCACCCCTCCCCAAATGACACAGCTGCAGCTCTGGGTACAACCGCTGGCCCCAGCCCAGCCTGTGTCTGTGCACTTCAGTGCTGGCTGCTCAGGAACAGAGAGGCCAGTCTAGAGCTGATCCAAGGGTACTGCTTT